CATGCCCAAGCCGGGGTAAACCTTTCCTGGTGTACATCATTTGCCCCCAACCTCCTTGGCTTCATACGACATCCTTGGCTTCATCTCGAACGCCCCCATTCCTTCGCGCTGTGTGGGGCCGTGGGGTGAAGCTGAAAGCAACTGCGGAGAAACCGCCGACCTGACATGCACCGCCACGGGTTCTCTTAGACTCGGGTCAGATGGAGTCAAGGGTGATCCGAATTTTTAGAACTTCCGGAATACCCTACAAAGTCCAGTTCGACGATTTGCACCAAGGAAGTTTGCAGGACATTCCTCGGCTTGGGCCACCCAAAGACCATTGTTTAAAAGTCTTGGACTGTCGTCTTGGGTTGACTTCGATGGGTTAGAACATAGTCCTTGGATGGGTTGAGCCGGCGAGTCCTTGGGTTTCCTGGCGCTGGTGAAAGACATGAAACCACCTGGCTGTGTTGTGGAGCAGCGAGCGGTGGAAGTTCTTCATGAGAGCCCCAAAAACCACCTGGCTGTTTTGTGCAACATCCACTGGGGGGATCATGAAAGCAAGTATGTGACATACTGTATTAAAGCCGAACAGTTTCAGCCGATCACTACAGATCTGCAGGCGTAGGGTCTGGACCCGTTTCAGCGACGCCCCGATCTGTTTGTCCCACCAGGTCTGTCGAAGAAAGTCGGAAAAACCTCGGCAAGGTAGAAGTAGAAGTGGGACCGGCATGTGAGTGGGTCAAGATGAAGCCAGTTATTGTTCACGTACACATGGAAGTGGATTTTTTGGCACCCCAAGAAGATCATGTTGATGACGGAACTGGGTGTTTTCCACTTTAGTGACTAGTGAGTTGAACAATATACTATACTATAGGTTTATTGATGCCTTCAGGTCCTTGTTTTCAAAGAAGAGCATGTCGGAGCATACATGGAAGACTCTTCGTCATAGGGTTCTCCATTGGTGCTTCGTGTCGCACGTGTTCAACACAACAAAACCACCAACAACAAAGTACCAAGAGGCTCTCCAGGACCTACACTCCTTTTCCATCCTTTTCCTTTCTAGCAGCTGTGGGATTTTGCTCTGCCTTGTCACACGGTGGGCGTGAAAGTTCGACGCGTCGCAGAAATGCTCAGCGGGTGACTGAGGCTTTTTGACAGCGACAAGATGAAGAGCAGATTCTCCAGCCCGCTGGAAATGCTGGTTGACATGGCCACTTGATGACCCAGCACATGCAGTAGACTATATGTAGTCTCCACAGGTCCAGTAGTGGTAGTGAAAAACGCGGATGGCTGGAGCTGCTTCTCGTGAAAGATCAAGGGTTGGGACGAGGCTTCACCCAGTTTCTGAACGTTTCGCCCCCCAAAACAGAGTGTCCTTTGGGCGGAAAACATGCAAGTTCCATCCCGCAGCCGAGGTCGGGTCGGGTCGGGGGCGAGTTTGGGGTGCTGGTGCTGAAGATTCCATGAAGACAGCGATGGGACGAAGCAAGGCATTCCGACATGATGCACTTGTTTCTAATAGCTTCTTGAAACTGCTGGAAAAAAGCATGAAACCTGCCTTTGGCATGCTTCTGCCAATCAATTCCTGATGAGATCTGGCGATTCGCCGCTCATTGCATGCGGTGACAACTGAGTGGATCATCTCTCGTACTTGGTCGAGACAGATCTTCAGCCTATCAAGCAGCTTCAACAACCTAAAAGAGGCTTTTTGAGGCAACCTTCTTTCCCCCAACCATCTACGAGACTGGAAGATAGTTTAATAATGTTTAATATACCTACATTGACCCCGAACTTCAATCAGTCAATCACCCCCCCAATGGTGGCGACGGTGATGGCACATCTTCCAGCGCGCATGGTTGTCTCCGAGTGAGCTCAGGTGAAATTTGCTAAGCTCAATGGCCGCCTCTGGGACGACAAGACCACTGAGACCATCGCGCTGGAAGGTCAACCCTGATGCGATGCATCCAGGCGAGAACACGAGTGGGTTTTGGGAAAGAAGAGAAGGTGGACGTCTTTTCTCAAAACGTTTTTTGGAGTTGCCAGGAAGACCATTTTGAAGAATGCTCTATAACGATGATCTGGTGACCCGAGTCTGAAGAAGGGAATGTCCTCACACCTTGATCTTTCGGCTGCCAAAGATCGTCGTTGCGTGGGCTTCTAGGGCCGGAAGGTCCTCAGTCTCCAACGAACATGGCTTTCATGGATGGCTCCCAAGAGAGTTTGCCATTGAACCTTTGGACAGGTTGGGTCTCGGTACGATGCTTTTTTGATGATTCTCCGGGCTTCCTCCGGAGATGGTCCGCAGTTTCCACCATTCCATCCACTTCTATGCAATAGTCACCCATAGGGTCCATGTTTTTTTTTTTTTTACCTCGAACAAGAACGCTACGTTCGGGGCTCCTGGCATCGCTACGTTCGGGGCTCCTGGCCATACTACTATAGGAACAATGTTCGCTATGAACAGAGCAAAGGGACTCCAGACTCCACAAGTTTGCGATCAAGATCTCCTTTTCGGATGGTCGAAAGGTGACTACGAACGAAACCAGAGAAGGGTCCAGTGGAGTCAAAGGAGATCCGATTCGGAGGGTCCTGGACGGTCAGAGTGGGTGTGTATTAAAATAGGGAGACCTCCTAAAGATCCCCTGGAAGAAGGGAAATAGACCAAAACCCATTGGGCCAGGGCCAGGGTGTCCCCTATGAAATACACACCCGAGTGCACATGGAAGTGGGCCATCATATGTTGGAACCTCATGAGGAGAGGTCTCCCTCTCCCCACCTTCTGGCCATGAGTCACCATCCCTTTTCGGTCCCAAGTCAGATCTGAACATGTTTTTTTGTGCAACGCAACCTGGAATCCATGTGTCGGGTGTCCACGATCAAAAGAAACGCACCCTACAGCCCTACGGGTTCGTCTCCGTTGCCGAGAAGTCCTTTAAACAAAGGTAAACACCTGGACACCTGGTGTTATAGTCTATAGATGTCTATAGTAAGACAATGGTTGTCTGGGATTCGATCCCTTCAATCACTGGTCCAGGAATCCTAGGGCGTGGAATCCTGGGGCTTGGAGTAACATCTCCAGCTCCAACCCATAGGGTCTGAATCGAGCCAGGCGCGGGGCCGACAGGGACATGTAGATCCAGTCTGACATGGTTCTCCATGGAAATGTTCAACCAAATCCAGCCGCATCATTCGCCGAAGCCGGCAGCAATTCCATGTATGAGTGGTTGATTAGTCCTATCCAGTGGATGTGAATGGCCAAGGTCGGCCCCTCCGTTCGTTTGGCACCCAACTCGATGGAACTCCTGGCAGCTTCTTCTTTGCACCATCAAGAGCAACAAACATCCCAGGGCACTCGAAGCCACGAGAGAAAGCGTATAAGCAATGTACTCATTAGTTGGGCTCTCAATCATGGCGCAACCAGGCTCCTGTGGTGTGTTCCTTGGCTCAAGTCTTCAGCCACCAGAACGAAAGACCCCAGTCTCGACATGCGTCATCTCATTGTGTGAGCGGTCCCTTGAGTCGTTGCTCAGTCGTTTTTTCTTCTTGGTGTCGAGCATGCTTCGATCAACCCTTTTTGCTTCGGCTTGGTGTGAGCTTCTGCCTCTTCCCAAACTGGCGACGAATCAGGAGAATCAACTTGGAGACCCACCTGCCCTGCATGTTGCATGGGCCAGCGCTTCGAGACACACACGCGTCACGAACCACACGACCACCTCACCTGAAGCCGCCGTTTGCTTCCGTGGGCAGTTGCGTGGGATCACCGCGCGCGAGGTGTCACACGTGGAAGAGATGGTTCTGTCTCGCTTGTTCTTGTCGGGTGATGTGTTTGCCGTCGTCCCCGCAGAGGAGTGCGAAACGGCCGTGGGCATCTATGGTGAATGGGAGAAGGAGACGCGAGGTCGCGCGGTCCGGGCATGGCAGTTGCGTCAAGTGATTTGTACACCTAACAGCTTGACCCCTCAAGAGGCGAAGTTTGCCAGTGCACTGGGACCGCCCATCGGCTATTCCGCCAAGCAGAACCTGGCCATCGAAATGAGGCATTTGAAGATCTGTGGCGAAGCCACTCGAACATCTAACCGTCTGGGACGGCCATATACGTGGATTTTGCTCATCCGCCCCGACTTTACCTGGTGCCTGTCCCCAGAGCGCTCCATGCTGGGATCGTATCTTCTCATCCCCAGGGAGACCGAAAACGAGTGGTTCATCGGCGGCTCCACGGAGGCAGCTCTGGGCCCTGCGGAGTTGATCTGGGAGTATAGCAAGTGGTACGACACCATGGTGCGCAATGAAGCTTGGTGAAGAGATTCGATTGGATTGCTTGAGTGCGTATTTTCAGAAAGACTCCAGTCGAATCACGAACCATGGTGGTTACATGGTGGTCCGTGGGTCCTGAAATCAGATTCGGCTCCAAGAAATCATGAATGGTGGAGGTAGTGACTTGGACAAAGAGATTTTCGTTTTCACTCGGATTTCGTTTCATCCGTTTCGACCAGTCCTTGGTGAACTGCACGTATCGATCTGTTCTCAGGAGTGTACATGGATCCAGTACATAAGTATACATAAGTAGAATAAGCTCGACTTGCTGTCTTATGGGTCGTTCTCTCACTCCCTGTACCAATAAGGCACCAGACACTATGCCGTATGCCAACTTGGGTGCTGAATAGGGAAGTTCTTTGAAACACTTTTGAAATACCGATCAGGTTCCTCAACCTACCATTTTTGGGGAACAGTGGGACACCCCATGCAAAACGAAGAGGGGGAGTTCGTTCGGTTCACTGGTTCCTTCTTCTTTCCGGAAATCTCCGGCTCGGGAATTCTGTGAAGCCTTGACTGGCGGAAGCTTTGACATAGAAAATGGGATGGGTCAGGCCTTCTGCCCTATATGAGCATGTATATTGGAACAGGGAGACCCCCTCAGTTCGATCCCCTTGAAGGAACATAAACCAAGATCCACGGCTGAGCTGTTGTGAGGGAATTCATGGGATTTCCCTATTAACATACACACTGACCCACACTGCACCCATCGTAGCGACCGTCTCACGCAACTGGCCGTGAATCAAACTGAGGAGACCTTCTGGGTGGTGTTGCGCACTCTTCGCTTAAACACGGGCTCCAGCTTGAAGAACTTCTTCGCACGCTTTGGGCCTCCTTTCACACACGAGCAGACCCTTGATCTATACTTGTTCATGCGGCAGCTGCCGATCGAGCGCAGCAGTGCATTTTCTCGTTTCCGCACTTCGCTTTGCAAACTGACAGTTGATCGATGTTGCCGAGACAACCTCGTCCCCATCCAGGATTCAAGGGGCATTTGGCAGAATGTTTTGTCTCATGGCATGAACCCCCGATTTGTAGCACGAAGGGTTCGTGCAGGTTATGACTTTCTTCTTGCAGGGGCCTTGGTGAGTTTCTTCCGGCAAGAAATGCATCTTGCGCACGACAAGAGCCGTGGACGTGGACGCATTGGCAATTATACAGATTCCAAGGAACATTTTATTTTGGATGTGGGTTGCGGCTCTGGGACTTATGCGCTGGAGTTGAACTCACATTCCATTCCATGCCTTTGCTTGGAGGGAGATGAGCAAGCCGGGCACATGATCCGAATGGAGTTTGCTGGTTTCGCTCACAGAGCTGTTGTAGCTGATTTCTTAACTTGGAAAGGTTGCCACAGACCATTTGGCTGGGTTTTGTTGTTGGACGTGATGCACTTTCATCCTTTTGACCGGCAAAAGAAGATCCTGAAGAAGTCAGAGCCCCAGTTTGCAGCCGCACTTCGTGTCACCTACACTCCCGAAAACTCACTCAGGCCCTGACAATGGCCCCCTGGAAGAGTGTTTTCCTCTACCAACCAGTGATTTTCAGGGTCCATGCTAGTCTTCCAGGGTGTACCTTCTAGATCCAGAAGGGTCTTTAGTCCCATCCAGGGGCTGTGGATGTGATGTGATTCTACCCCGCAAGGCACGGCAACCCAACTCCATGAGACTCGTGGCGGGGATGGTAGAGGGAGAGTATGGTTGTTCTGGCACGGGCACGTTTTCCGAAGTCAGAACTTAACTCATACTGTTTATATATATATATGCACGGTAGCCGGAGTTCTCAAGCACAAAGTGGTGAGAGGCGATG